GACAAAGGAAAATTTAAAGGAAGTAAGAATGAGATTTTGTTTTCCATCGACGACTGTAAGGATTTCATTTGAATGAGTAAAATTCTTATCTTTTTTAGAAGATTCACGGCAGCGAGGTGAAGATTAAAAACATCTAAGTCGCTGGGAGAGAAGAGAAGGATTAGATTTAGGTTTGCATGTATTTTTATATTATTTTTTTAAATAACATGATCTTGTTTCATGGAATTTTTTTTTTTTAAAAAAAACATGCAATGACCCCCTTTGACCCCTCTGACTCGAGAGTCACTGAAACTCGGCCGGGTGTTGGGGGTTGGAGGGGTAGATATGCATATAGGGTCTAACTTGTGACCCCTACCCTCAGAGGGGAGGAGTCAAGGTTAATCCGGGTCAACCCGGGAGGCGGGGCGGGGTTTTAAAACACTGCTTCTAACCCACAATCTTCACTTTTTTTAGGGTGTCGTTGCTATGTGGATGAGATTAACAGCCTCTTTGTTTGAGCTTCTATAAAAAGTAATTTTTATCTCTTCCTTATTTTAGAAGTGCTTTTTTATAAAAGTTAAAGTTATTTATATTTTTATAAAAATATTTAGTTTTTGAAAAAAAAATATTTAGTTTTTGACTTCTACCTTTCTATAATTTAAAATTTTTAACTTCTAAAAAATTAAGTTTTTAGCTTTTTTTAAAAGTAGACATCCAAACGAACTTAAAGTGAGGAGTGTTTTTTTTTTAAAAAAAAAAAATAGCTTTTGAAAAAAAAAAAACTCTTCCAAACTAACCCTAATTTTTTTCGTGGCGTAAAGGCTAGAGGTTTATGCTATGTCCCCAAGTTGCTTTGCCTAGATTTCAAAGCAGATGTTCTTTAGGTGGTGTTTGGTTGAGAGCTTTTCAGCGGATATTTATCTTTCTGAAGTATGGCTTTTAGAAACACCATGTTTGTTTCAACGTATTTTCACCAAAACCCATCTATCCAATTTGTTTAGATTTATGAGAAACATAGATATCCGCACTGTTTAGAAACCCAATTTGAAGGTGGGATTTTCGGAAAACCGGTTATCTGGCTTTTAATGCACTGTTGATTTCATAAAGTTACATAATTTTCCCAGTAAAGTTTTTCCCCACAAAACAACTTTTTTTTACATTTTTCTATCTATCTCACTTTATCTATCTTTCCAATCATTTTTCTATCTATTACATTTCCCTACTATTCCAAAAAAATTCCCTCAACCAAACGCCCCCTTAAACTCCAAGAGTTCATTCTTTGCGCGCAGCTTGCCTACCAGCTATCTCATCCCTTGAGGTTACAATCTTCACTTTATTAAGATTTTCTTAATCTTAATTTACAAAATTCATTAATTAAGTGATTGGGTTAGAGCTTATCCATCAACAGTATTACACCTTTACCAAAACACCCAATGTGAAAAAATGAAATAAATAAGTAAAAATAAAAATAATATAAATTTTTTAAACATTTATAAATATAAAATAAAATATAAATGGAAAATAATATATAGGGCTTATCATTTCTCAAGCTCAAGCTGCTTGAGATAATTTTATCTCCGGCTACTAAATCATAATCGTATAAAGACAGATCAATAGTGATAAAGGAAGAGAGAGAAATTTGGAATTATAACTATTCAAAAGTGAATCAATTAATACAAGGAAATAAATAAACAAAACGACGTAATTTTGGGATGGCCGGAGATAAACTTACCTCAAGTTACCGGATAAATGTTTTTTTTCATATATATATATATATATATATATATATATATATATACATATGTTATATTTACAAATTTTTTGTTTACAAACTTTACAAATTACACTATGTACTCCGGTAAGTAAATTTTTAACTGAGTCTGCTCCCGGGAGCACACAGTGCAGTTTGTAAGAGTTTGTAAATATAACTCTCCCCTATATATATATTGGGCTTATCGTTTCTCAAGCTGTTTGAGATAACTTTATCTCCGGCTATTAAATCATAACCGTACAAAGATAGATCAATGGTGATAAAGGAAGAGAGAGAAAAAAGAAATCATAACCATTCAAAAGTGAATCAATTAATATAAGAAAATAAATAAATAAACCACGTAGGGTGGATGGAGATAAATATATATAATTATATAACATATATATTACAAGGCTATTGACAAACCATTATGACCACATTTGCATTCCATGCAAATCTTTCAATGTAAACGGTGAAAATACACTGCAGAATTAATTATGAAAAAACTGTCTTTGTTGCATGAATAATGTTATTCCTTGTAGTTTCTGCCTATTATCTTGGAAATAAAATACCTTGTACAGTTGTACTCCAAATAGTAAAGTATTAAATCCAATATAGTTCCATACTTATTGATGCTGAAATCTCACTGCTTTATATAATTCACTTGATTTATTTCAATTTTCAAGTTGCAAGAATCAGTATGTTTCTATTTATTTTGTTTTGTGTGCATCTCTAAAATTGTTGGAAGAGATATTTAATTTAAATTAATGTAAAACTTAATCTAAATTAATTTAAAATTTAATTTAAAAATCTTATGAAACTATTAAAAAAAATTATTTCCAATAAATACGCCATACAATCCTGATTATTTACCCTAGTTTTTAATTGTGATCCACGATTGCCACTGTAGTCATAATATTGCAATTTGAAGGTCTTTACAACTGCAACCAAACTGCAATTGAAGTCATGTTAATTAATCAGATCTTTTCAAAGTGCAAATATTGCTTCCTTAAAAAATTAAATTATGAAAAACTAGTATTTTATACAGAATATTATTAGAAAGTATCAAGTGTTTATTTACTAGAACAATTTTAAATGTAATTGATCCAATAAAAGATGTGAAAATGCATTATTCATGTGTTTTAAGTAATTTTTTTAAAATTATAATTTTGAAAGACCTATGGTTTGACCCTATCCCATAAGATTTTGTGAAACTTTTTATCTGTGAGATTTTGGGTGTGTTTGATTGTGTTCTGATTTTTTTGTTCTTAAAACTATTCTGTAAAATAGTTTTTAAGAATTAATTTTCAGAACAAAAGAAGAAAAAAATCCGTTTGGTAAACTTATTTTAAAAAGAGTTTTAAAAATTAGAAAACAAGAAAATCTGCTTGACAATTTTGTTCTAAAAATATGTTTTCAAAACAAAAAAACAAAAAACTCGTTTGGTTAATAACTTTTTTCTTGTTAACTTTGTTTAAGATATGTAAAAAATTTATAAAGTCTTTTTGAAGACCAAATTAAATCATATTATAAGTTTTTTGGTTATTGTATTTTCTTTTTTCTTTTTTTTGGTGAGGTGGTTATTGTATTTTCAGTTACTAATAATATCAACCATGCAAAGCCATTATTACTGCCCTCTAAGATGAAGATACCTTAAAAGGACATGAACTCCCTATCAGATAATTTGTCTCGTATATCAAACATAAATAAGTAAAAGCAAATCATATGGCCAGTTAAGCTTAGAGTTATATCAGTTATTTCATAAAAGAATATCAATGGCCAGTAGCAATTAATAATCATTTGGAAAAACGAAAGACAAGAATATTGTATAAAATCAATACAGCAAGTGATATTCAATTAGACTTAAACAAATTTGTTGAGCAATTTAAAGCAACTAGAATCAAAATATTGTATCGGAAACCTTTTCCTCTTCACTTCAGTGAAGACAAACCTTTCCATTTCCATGTGGTTTTTTCAATTTCTGAGACCACTTTAACACTATTAAAAAATAAGTTAAGTCGTCCATTTTACTCTTCTTTTTTTTATTAAAAAAAAAACACTTAATTTTATAGTTCCTCATCAATCCATGATGGTAAAACTTTTAGATCATGGGAACATGTTGCTACAATTCCTTTATCACTTAGACACATTTTTAGTATTTATGCAGAGAGTATGTTATAATGCTGCTTTAGTTCACTGGATTTTAGGTGCAGTAGTACTTCCAAAATAAACATAAAGAGTAACGGGCTAAAGATGTTTCATTCCTGACCCGTTGAAACTATTTGTTGATCTTTCAGATACACCTAGTTTAAGAAATGCACATAAAAGGTCTCCAAGTCTAAAAGCTTGATCTTTCACAAGTCTAATCCTTATGAGTTATAACTTTGATTGGAGAAAGGAAAGTTATGGCGAGCTGGAGATTACAGCATAACAGTTTCAAACTGATTAGGATTGCATTCCTTCTATATAAATACAATTTTCCCTTCCACTAGACTAGGCACACACTCATATCAAAAGAAATGGAAAATCTTTCAGAAAAAAATGAATGTTGTTATTAACACTGATAAGGGTAGAATCCATAATAATCTAATACAATGCTGAAGTAATTCAAATGCTGGATAAGATAAACTTGGATAAGTATTCTGGAAAAATAACCTAGATGAGATAAAATAACTAAATTTTGGATAAGATAACAAATAAATAACCTATTTCTATCTGATTGCAGTAACTCAGCATGCCACATGAGAATAGCAGCATTTTGTTCCTATTTGCTAATATTTTCTCACCTTTTCTTGTTCTTCTTTTAAGCTCTATGACTTGAATGATCTGATTTCTACGCAAGTTATATAAACTTAGTAAACATTTAGTGAATCATCCTACATAACAAAAAAAGGAAAACAACAAGCAACAAACAAAAATAAAAATACATCAATGGTGCATAACAGCCCAATCCCTCAGCACATCTGTTAGGGAAATGCCTTTAAATAGAACCATGTTCTTTACACATCTATAATGAACCTAAATAGTTGTTGGTGCTCCAAATCTTGAGCATATAGCAAAAATAGCATATAACTATATACACATTAGCAAAGATGATCAGACCAAAGCTTAAGCAAAACAAAAAATACAGCCAAGACAAAGCAAATCTGATCATAGTAAAGTTTAAACAAAACACAAACTAAAGTCCCACCACAGCTGCGCCAAAATTAAAATCACAGTTGTAGCAAAGTATACTATGACCAAAAGCATCCAATCATGCAGTCAAAGTTTCTCAATCAATTGTATCTAGCCATGCCTTTCTCCTATCAGTAGACATAGCAAGAAACATTTTCCTCCATGTAGGCTCCACAAATTTTTTCAAAGCCTTAATGTAGATGTCATTTGCAACGTCTTTAGTCTCTTCAAGGGCAGCCACACACTTTGTAATAGAATAATCTGTAGAATAGTTTGAAGAAGTGGCCCTATATTTCTCAGCTCTTGCAAAAGAAATCTCTGCTTTTGCTTTAGATGCTTCTGCCCATGCTTGAAGTGCATCTGCCATTTGAAATGTTTTAGACTCTTTGTAAGACTTACGTTCTCTTGCTTGAATTTTGCGTTTTCCCCGATGTGTGGTTTGCTCAATTGTTTGCAAGTCATCATCTGAACTATCTAGATTAACATCTACGTGAACACCATTATTAAGGTATTGATTTTCAAGCTCAAGTTCTTCATCTGTATTTGGTGGGTCTTGGGTAGATGAATGATGAAGTACTCCAGTTGCAGTACTTCTATTAAATAAGATTCCTAATAACTTGTAATGCTCACATCCTTTCTTTTGAAATTGAGCAGCCTCTGGATGCACCTAAAATAGTAAAATATTGACAAAAAATAAGTGAATCATATTATAGTCAAAAGATACTTTAAATGATGACAATTAAGTCAAACCATAACCTTACAAACAAAATATTAAATATACCCGAATGTAAGACTGCCAAACTTCTTCACTAGCAGTGACAGTGTTGGTTTCAGCATCCCAACCAAATCCAGTGTGTTGCAAGAGTAAAGAGAACTCACGATGCTTAGTTCGTAGTCTATGGAACTTTTGCTTTATTTGCTTGACACTAAAAGACCGATTACTTACGGAATTCATTTTATCTTTTATGGAATTCCATATTCTAGTGTGAAAAACACCGTTCTGCATATTTCCTTTGGTGACCTCATCAACCATAATATGAATGTAATCCTTAATTATTGAATCAGGCCAAACCTTTGCATCATTTTTTTCAGCATTAGTTTCCATCTATCATATGAACAAGCATTGAAAGTATGTAAGCAAATCAAGTATATAGCTAAATAGACTCCCAGAAAAAAATTCACAATAACCTACAATTTTACATATTTTTTCGATCAAAAAAGGCAAAAAGTGAACCATAGAGCTACCATTTTTGCAAAAGCAATTTCGCATACAAAAAGTGTTATATTCACATTGCAGGCTATTTGGCCATTCTAACACCAGAACAAATTTATTTACTGACAAATTTATTTATAAGCAATACAAGTGCCTTTATAGTAGGTTGCAACTTGCAGGTAAAATGCCTTCACATTATAACCTTAATCCATCAGAAAAGTTAAATTCTTGATCTTATCCATTAAAGGAAAAAAACTAAAAGCAAACCTCTGGATAAGATCCCCAACAACAATTGCTAGTATTTTCTACTGCATATGGGTTGAAATGCATTTTTATTTTCCTTATTTTATTATCATTTTCATTTTTTGGGTACATGTTCTTTCTTATTTTATTTCTGAGAAAACAAACAACAAATCATTGATAGTAGAAATCATAACAAAAGGGTATAAAAAAAATCCAAAAATGGAAATGAAAATATCACCATTATCACATCACAGTCACACCACTCAATACTCTCGGATTTCAAATTTTCTAACAAATAGAACACTCCAAAAAAAGAAAAAGAAAAATTGAAAATCTTTAGCAGTTAAGCTAATGGAAAACTTTCAAGTTTCATATCAACGTGAAAAGTGCAAAGTTTCTATATTTGAGAAAATAAAATAAAATAAATAAAGAAATAATGAAAACAGCTACCTTGGTCTTTTGAGTTGTTGGCAGCATCACCATATTTGGAACTCAAGCCAAAAAATTCCCTCTCCATATGGTAAAAAAATCAAAGTTTTGCTATTTCTAGCTATAACAAGAATAAGACTTTAACAATTCCACAGAGAAAAAGAAAATAAATTTGATGTGTTTGCAGCAAATGGTTGCTTCTTCAGCTGGTAAATGGGTAGAAGAAGAAACAGAGACAACAAAACAGAGAGATATAAAGAGAGAGAAATTGAATGAACAAAAATAAAAGGCTCGTGTACAAAAATAAAAGAGAATGTGTTATTAAAAGAAGAAGCAAAAAGATTGGTTTTTGCTGGACATCATTCGTTCAAAAATTAGAAAAAGCATACCAACTTTACAAACATCTAATGAGAGAAGATCTTAGTAAAAGAAAAAAAACCAGAGAATTGCTTCCAAAGATGAAGAGAAGATGAGTGAATCTTTCCCGCTCACTGGCCTCAGCTTCCCACTCATTGGCTAAAGAAGGTCGTTAAACCGTTCTCAAACCCTTACATTTCACATATACCGAAGAATAATGAAACATCAATATTTACGCAATTGCCATTAATGAAAATTGCTATTCTCCGTGTTTTTGCTTGTTCTCAGAATAGAAAACGAAAAATGAGAATCAAAACACCATTTAGGTGTTTCCTAACTTTTGTTTTAAAAACTAAAATTCAGTTACTGTTTTAAATTTTTTTTTTACAAAACAACTTTGCCAAACAGTTTTTTTTGTTTTTTGTTTTTAAAATTTAAAAACTGTTTTACAAAACTAAAATCAAACAGACCCTTTATTTTGGGGTTTGTTTTACTATATGGGCTTTTCAGCCCTAATCCACGTGGATTGAAATTAAATTGGGAGTGTTAATCCATTTTTACAGCTCTAATTTTATTATTTAACTTTGCTATTTTTTTTTAGTACAATTTAACTTAGCTCTTTGTTTGATTGATTCTATGCATTCACTCTGTAATCTTGTAAAGTAATGGAAACATTTACACTCTGCACCTAAGGTATCGACCTCATAAAGCAGTAAATATCTTTCATTAATTGTGAGTGTGACCATTCATAATCTGAAGTTGGCATGAAAGTTCAATGACTACAAATTTGTCAAAACGAAAGTGAGAGAAAAGGTAATCCGAGGTGAATTATTCACTTTTGACAAAGTAGGATAATAAAGAAAATTCCCCATCAGTGAAACAATTGTATCTGGAACTAAAATAGCCATGTCTGTACTAGACAATCAAAGCGAGATCTAACTAGTCAATTGAACATAATTTTGTTTGAGTCGAGAACATCGTCATGGTAAAATTAGCTCTTCCAAAAAGGATTTTTTCGCATTCACAAGGATTTGAAGTCAAAATCTTACTTAAACAAAATCAAATATGTATCACTTAAACTAACCCCATTCATTCTAACCAGTCAATGCCTACTGCGTTGTATCGATTTGAGTTGGACCCTCCTCTTGAACCTTAGAAAAAACACTTGAACACGAGGCAGAGCAAGAGCTTCTTCGTTGAAGTTCACCCACCATCATATCATGTCATCTATTTTCCATTATTTCTCAATCAAAGGCCCTCATTCTGTCCTATTTCTACGTCACTCCTCAAAAGTTCTTGTTCAAATAAACTACGTATCCACCACTTTCAATTATTGGACTTCTCTAGTTTCCTTCAATAATTGTTTTTGAGAATAAACCAAATCAAATATGACATTTGGCAGAACACGTGCTTTGAATTTTCTAGTTGAATGTGAATTTAACTTGTGCATGAGAAATACAGTGGAAACTCTGGTATTAATTTATATGAATGACCTTTATTCCAAACACTAGCTATATTAAGGTAGAAAATTCAGACTCCATAAAAATCTCACACCACTTCAAGTCACATACTTTACAATTGGATCGTAACACAATTCTAATCTCTTAGACATTATTGAAGTATATATAGAACGCAAACTCCTACCAGAATGAAACATGTATTGCACCTTCTTTTGTCTCCATTGATAAACGATGGTACAAAAGTTCATACCCTCAATGCTATCTCATAATCATTTTAAATATCCAGAAGAATGGTAAAACACAATCAATCTAAACTTTTAAGATTTGCTAGTAATAGAGATTTAGAAGACAAATGCCCACTCTTGATAAGCATAATGATCAATCATCACCTCATTCAATGAAAAATGACAAGTCGATTAATGCTTATAATTAATTTCAAACCCACAAATGATGTAAGGGGTCCTGAAAATTGGTTTTAATCATAATGTATTGAGTAAGATGTTGGGGTCTGGGCTTTAGAAAGTGTACATATATACTATAAGGGGTGCAATCGTAGTTCATGCACACCCCCCCTTTTCCCCTTTAAAAGAAGCTCGTGATTCACACCAGATTAAAACGGAGTGAATTTGAAGGCTTTGGTAAAATCTCTTTATATTTTCCTTTATTTTCTCTTTTCAAATAAAGTTGCAGGGTTCAACTAGAATACGGTGATTTGCCCTCACCAACCACCGTAAACAATAGATTAAAATTCCATGAAAAAGGGTAATATTAGATATTAGGTGTAAGGGTAATTTAATATTTCAATAATATTCTAGAATCTTCTCTTGCTCTTTTATATAAGAGCCTTATTGTACAAATTAATGACCAATCAATGAAATTAATATTTTCCATTTCCTCTATGAATGGAGGTTCCACTGCCATATATTTTTTCCCCTTTATGTCTGTTTCCCTTTTTCGATCATAAAAAAAAAAATCACTATTCCGGTCATCTTCTCTGGTGTTCTTTTCCGACGCCATGATATTTTTCATTTTTGTAGATCTACTTGATTTTTCTGTCTCTTTTTCGCTAAATTTTCTTCCACATCTTATAGATCAGATCTGTTATCATTTTTTTTTCTGGCACTTTTTGTCTGCCATAGTAACTTCTAGATTTTCAGATCTGGTTATTCATCTAGCGTTTCCCCTTTGTTCGTGATCAGATTTTCAGATCAGATCTGTTACCATTTTCACATCCAAATTTCTCCATTTTTTTGGTTCCAAATCGTTCACATTTTAGATCTGCGTTTTCATCTTCCGGCCGTGTCTCCTTCTCCGATCATCATTTTCGGTCGCTGCTTCTCCTTCCAACTTGCGTCTCCGGTTCTTGAGGAAGTTCACCTCTGTTCGTCGGACATGTTTTCCATTATCGATACAGCTTAGATTCAAAGTGACATTCACTTCTCCTCCTCGTCAGGTTCAGGGTTTCTGATTCGAGATCTGATCCGTTTTTTCAAAAAAAAATTTGGTCCAAAAGCAAACTCAGAAAAAATCATTTGCAACTGATTGATGCGCTAATTGTAATTGCATTGTGGCCGTCCCTTTGCCTGCATCGGAAGATGGGATTATTATTTACGAGATTGTTTTATTTTATTTTTATTATTTTGATTTTTTTTCTTCTAGATCGAATCGCTATCTGAGTTCTCCTTCCTCTCCTTCACTCTTTTTTAGGAGTTTATGTCTATCACTGGTGCGTCTCGTCCCTCAGTCTTGGCCCTTCTTCTCTGGTGCTTTACTGCCGCCGAATCTCGCAGTTGTTCTCCGCCTTTGATGATGGTAGTTCAGTCTCCCTACAATATTTTCCAGATCTGCGAGTCACCTTTCTTCGCAATCTGTGTCTAATATTTTCCAGATCTGCAAGTCACCACCTTGCTGTCCTTCGTCTCCATTTTTTTGTACCATCGTGCTAGCCGTTCGAGTTCACGTTCCCGTTCGTCTTCACAGTCTCCATCTGTTTCTTGTAACCACTCTTTAGCTAGTACCCTTATGTTCAGCCATCTCTAAGGTCCTACCGTCAATCCCCATCCTATGATTTTTTTTTCTGACCAGTTATGTTCAGTCTTCGCAGTCTCCATCTATTAGATATATAATTTTTTTTTCTTTTTTTTTTTGCTGACCCTATCTCATTTTTTTTATTTTTTTCTTTATCCACCTTTACATCAGATATGATTTCTTATTTTGATTCTTCTAAATGTTGCTAATGGAATTTTGGGGCTGGTTTCTTGGCTTCCTTCCATGGATTTATATGCATTTTTTGTAGCTCTCAATGATGCGCACAAGGTATTTGTTATTTTACGTGACCATCACCAAGACATTTTGTTGCTATTGCTATAGCTTATGCTGTAGCTCTGGCGTTTGACCACTTAGCTGATTTTTATTTGGTTTTACTTTTACATTTTCTGGCTTGTATTTGGCCAATTTGATTTTATTCTCACATATGTTTGTGGTGTTATTCGAATTTGATTTGACTTCTATTTGGTTTTGCCATTGTTTGGCTTTATTTTGGCTTCTTATTCAGGGGGAGCATTGTTCATATTGCTGAAGTTCATTTCAGACAGTTGATTTTGCCGATGTCCATCCCGACAGTTCATAGTAGGTTGCTGATGTCTATCCCAACCCTTCTTTTCTTTGATGATGTCCATTCCAGCACATTATAGCTGATGTCAATTCCAGCACTGTTTCTTTACTAGCTGATGATCATGTTATTTGGTTATTATGTTTTCTTGATTTTTCTTATTCAAGATGGAAGTTCTCTTTGTTCACTTTCCATCTTGAGGGGGAGTATTAGATATTAGGTATAAGGGTAATTTAATATTTCAATAATATTCTAGAATCTTCTCTTGCTCTTTTATATAAGAGCCTCATTGTACAAATTAATGACCAATCAATGAAATCAATATTTTTCATTTTCTCTTTTATCTTCTAATAGGTAATGTGCAATTAATTGATAGAGATAGATAGGGTTCAGGAGCAGAGTCCGGGTCAAAAAGGTTAAAATTCTTATAGGTTACGTTACGCTATGTGTTTTACCTTTTTTTTTTTTTTTAGTACAGATTTTACCTCCTTTTTGTCATTCTTATAGGTTAAAATGTTTGTTTATTGATGCTCACCTTATCACTATAGGGTTGGAGAAGGAGATAGGGAATATTTATGGTGGGCTCCACAAAAGGGCGCTCTTATCAGTTCAATGATGTGGTCCGCCGCATGATTTCAGACCCACTGTCGACCAAAACCGCCGTCCTACGTGGACTAAGCCTGCGCACATCATTTTCTCAAGCGTGTGAAATTCTAATGTAGTTATTATGTGGGCTATTTGACTATTTTGTCCCTCATTAATTAATAACCATTTTGTCTCTGATTCGAAAGTATCTATTAATCTGTCCCTCTTTAATCGATCACTTTGCATGTTTAATCGACTAAATGGTTGTTAGGAGATTTAATCGACTAAATCTCCCTACTTAACCGATTAAAATCATACTGACTTATTTTTTTTTGTCAAATATGAGGATTTAGTCGACTAAATAGGGAGATTTAGTCGACTAAATCTCCCAACAGCCATTTTTTGTCTGTTTTGGCTATTTAGTCGATTAAAAATGCAAGGTAGTCGATTAAAGAGGGGCAAATTGATAGATAATTTCAAATCAGGAACAAAATGATTATTAATTAATTAATAAGGGGCAAAAGGGTGAAAAAGCCTTATTATGTGTGATAATGTGGTTACACTACGCTACAAAAAAAAATGGTGTTTTTAACGTGGCAAAAGTTAATTAAAAACGTGGTTAAAAAAGATAACCACATTCTTGGGAAACCTGCCTAATCATGGCGTCGCAACATTGATTTGTTCACTTAGCCACATTTTAAAGAGTGTGGTAACATTTAATTAGCTACGGTCTATCTTCGTTTAACCACGTTTAAACGTGGTTAATTATTATAGATTTTATTTTTTTAAATAATCCTTTGTTAAGCCTCTCTAGATTTTCCCAATTAACATGGTAACAAATATAAGAAGGAATTATCATTTGTGATTATCTCCTTTGAACACCCAAATTGGCTAGAAGCTATTATCATTTTTGAGATAATTGAATCCTGGCAAAAATTACATCTAATTAAGCAGACATTGGCAAAATTGTAAGAAATGCATTTGGAAAGCTAATTATGGAGAGGTGACAAATGCGTCTAAATGTGGATAGACATCAAAATCTCTATAACAGTAAGAACAATGGCAATATTTGTAGATGTACCATTTATTTAAAGAATATATTAACAATAAAGGAAGAGTAGAAGCTCTTAAAATATATTGTTTATTTAATGAATTCACACATTGCATCTATGCATAATAGAAAATATGAAGAAACATAAAATAAGATGAAGTACATAACAAATGCATGAAACATGATTTTAGTGGTATCCAAAATATACAAGTGGAATCTCTGCAACTTGAAATCCAGTTGGTGAAGTAAGCTTAACATCATCATCCAAGACCCCAAGAGAGTAGAGAACTTCTAGTGCTCGGATCATTGCTTCAGGAGATGGAGATGCTGGCCAGTCAAAGCCCAAGATATTATCAATCCCCAATGCCTTTAACTGGAAATCATAAGAAAAAGTGTCAAGTAATTAACTTTAGGATCAATGGTTAACTCAATCTAAAATACACTTATACTATTCTAGCAAGCAATACTAGGGTAATAGCACTCAAATGGAATGATATCAGTTATATCAGAAAAGGAGAAGTTGACACTTAGGCAATCCATCTTATCAAACACAAAACTATATGCTTTTTCTTTTTTGGATAAAAAGGAAGAATTTTATTAGAGAGAAGGGACGCATAAATAGGGGGCAGAGGCTAAAGAATACAATAATGCTGTTCAATCCCTTCCATAATAGAAGTTGATATTCCCTTATGAATAACCGTTATAATAGTAACAGAGAGAAGTAATTAAAAATAATCTTATCCTATAACATACGTAGGGGAATACTATTATGCAAGTTTGTGGTACTATACTATAGCAAGGAATTTTGTTCCTTCCCTCATTTCAAAAAATTTCACTCTGACCATCTTTGGTATATAAGATCATAACGAGAAGTGCCTAACTGTTTTATGCATTCAACAAGAAAAACCATACCAGGAAAAGAAAGAAAGAAAGCACGTCCAATTTATTGCAAGAAAGGAGTTAGTGAAATGAAGTATTGAAAACAGTGACATTTCAAATGTAACTTTATCTTTCTCTCTCTCCAATTAATCTTTATCATTTTTTAATTAAGAAAATCATAAGGAGAAGAGATACAATTTTAATTTATATTTATTAAATTAAAAAAAATCATGATAAATCAGAAGAACATTGATGCAACTAATATTTAGTAATCATTACTAATGATCAGAAAAATATAATCTCAGTCAAAGTAGCATGTCAGGAGAAAAAGAAACAACCAATGATGGGGGTGCTACCATAAGAAATAAAACGGGCTTAAAAATTTGTTTCTGTGAAATTATATCAAAAAATTTACTAACCTGGATTACACAGGAAACAAGATTTGATCTTTGTATCTCTTGAGTTCCCTCATTAGACATGTGGTTAAGAAAATATTCTTTTGTATATAGACTGGTTGCAGTCATGTGACAATGAATGGTAACATTAAACAAATACATCAAGAAAAAATGATCAACAATCTTACATTATGAAATTGAAGAAGAAATATTAACTTAGTTAATAAAATGCTAGTTGGCACAACTCATATAGAAAGCCCACAACTAGACAGACTAAATAACATGGCTGGCACCAAATATGATTACAAAGCATTCAAGGTTGATTACCTCTGCAACAAACACTTCATCGTGATTCATTGAGCATGTTGAATAAATGATTCTTCCACCAACTTTATAAAAAGACACACCTGCGAAAATCAAAATAGCAGTTAAGTTTACAAAATCCTTTTACAAGCTAAGTCTCATTACCCCTAGTTCATTTAAATTCAGCATAAATAGCACTATTTTAATCCCAAAAAGAGTCAATCAGTTTAAATTAAAAAAAGAATACCAAATGATTCCTTGGTATAAAGATTATTTTCCAATTTTAATACAACTTCCCTACTAAAAAAATGTAAAAGTGTATTTTTATTTTACATCAAATAGAATATTTTATTATGGACGTGATGTGCTATATATTATTATTAAAAGTAAAAAGAAATCAACATTGTGCCATAAGATATATCTGATAACCCAAAAAGCAATCTTGGTACAAAGGTAATGTAAGGACTGTTTAACCAAATGAAATATGAGTAACACTAACTCCTGATCACTTGACGGACCACACAACAAACAGTTGGGGTGCACAATATCAAAACACGTGTATAGGGGAACAAGGTAGCTCGCACTAATAAAAAAATGCCTCTTTAGATCGCCAAATCGAAGTCAAATTTTGAATTACAAGAACCAATTCTTGGTGAGTGCAAGATGAGATGATTTCCATGATAAACGAAAAAAAGAAGAAGACAAAACCATACCAGAACCTGATCATAGAAAATTAATTAATGCGACGATGGTGCTAACATAATTTGAAAATAGACCCCTACTATGGTGCTTGGTTGCAGCGAAAGTGTAGGAAAAGACAAAACAAGCAACATGAATATAGTTAGAAGATCAAATTAAGCAGCAAAAGCTTAAACCTAGCTAGATTCCTGGATCAAATATCAAACCAGAAACCTCGAACCTAATAGGGGAAGTGAGTGTCACTGTGAATCTAATCTATATCGATAATGCAAGGAAGAGGGAACAATGTCCATGAATTTGAAAATCTGATAAGAGAGAAGGTTCTTTTGTGAGCTTTTTTTAGGAGAAAAATAAAATAAAAAAATAAAAAATTGGGAACCACGATAATGAATATGATGCTTACCTCGCCCTCTACCTTTCTGCTTTTGGAAAACTATAACCATGGCAGAGATAGAAACAGAGGAAGTGAGAGAGAAAATCCTAACGCTAAGGAAAGATAGAAAGAGAAAGGCACCAAATAATCAAATCCCTCTATGTATTTCTGAATAAGATAGAGGGAGGCAATGACTTTTGCCAAAACTACGTAGCATATTTATGGATTTTTAAAACTTTTGCGACATTCTTTGCAAACATGGCTAAACGATTGTTGAAAATGGACGGTTTTCTTGCAGTGTACACTTCATTAGTTTATTTATTAAAGGGGAATAAGTTTTCGTGTTATATGAAATAAATTCTCTCATGTAGTCTATAAAAAAATAGATAAGACCCACTAAGAAGAAGAGAAAAAAAGAAAAAAATGAATCCACTTTATTCCACTAGAAAATAGGGGGCAATGTGAGGATCAAATTCGTGACTCCAACTTATATCATGATAGACAACTATATCACCCAATAACTTAAGCTTGTAAATAGTGGATTTTCAATGATTTTTATATTATATCTATTTAACAATATTATTCATATATTATTCAAAATTTTAATTTTTAGAGAAATTTAATATAAATAGGTATAATATAAAATTATTCATATATTTTCATACAAAAACTTGAATTGTTACATAAAAGCACGAGAATGATGTTATGTTATATTTCTAACATGAACCAACACTGTTTTCGATGGATAATATAAAAAAGAAAATGATACACAGTATTTTCTCTCACAATTCTAGTAAGTATTATGGACCACGTCGTGGTTTTGTGTATTCTTTTTCAACGAATTATATATAAAGTGTTGGTCGCAGATGAATTTAAGAATAATGGGGTGAGTTACACATAATAATATATATATATATATATTACTATATATATATATAATATGATTATGATCAATTCCCAATAGTACAAAGAGATAACTCAAGTGTTTAGGTGAGAAAACTTCCAAAAAGAAAGAAAGAAGACCACAATTTGGATACAACTATCTAATTGGGAGACAAATCTAGTATAATAAGTCAAGCTTAATTCAAATTATATAAATAGAACATATTCAACCCTTACAAAAAATATCACCCATTTGAACCTAACCTCTTAGATCAAGTCCCCAATTATCACTAGATAATTGTTCCATTTTGTCTACTCCAACCGTAACACTCCGTGTATACCCGGTTTGTTATCATGTCATCGTATTAAGCCACACTTAATTAAAAATGCGAAATAAACTTTTTCTATTCAATTATGACGTCGTTAACAATTACCAAGTTGATTACTTAATCCTTTTAAAACATTGCCTTGTATGTAATTGCAAAAAGACAGCTATCTACACTGATCAATAACCTCATAATATAAATATGTGAGTATCTAAGTCACAGATCTACAACACGTAGTCCGGACATAATACTGATACATTAATACAACTCAAATCTAAAACAAGACATAGTCAAATCAATGTGGCATGGACAATCCTCATGCTCACCCAATAAGGCAACAAAGACCAACAGAGTCTCAACAACAACATCATAATAATAACATAAAGCATATCAGCATCCAAGCATAATGATCTAACAGCAAGCATATCACATTAGCTCCAGCCTCCTGCCGCCCGAGGTCTCAACCCCCGAGTTACCTAAACCTGAAATATGTGCCCCAAACGTGGGGTGAGATCTCTAAACAGAAATCTCAGTAAGGCAAGGGGTCCTCAAGGATTTCTCCACCCCAAGCTCACTTACATGTGCAATATAAGTTCTAAAAGCAATGTACAATATCAGTTCCAAAATCAGTGCAATGCAACAGATAACCATGTCATGTGTGTCAATACTATTCTACTAGCCAGAGAAATGCAGGATTTACGTACGTCTAAACCCTACAAATAGTGCAAGATGCCACTTGCACCCACCCACAGGATCATCGTGTTGTATGACGCCACATACTCAGGCTTACCGTCTAGATGGAACAACACATGCATATTATAAGGCCCTTGCACATAACCACTCAACAACAATTCAAAATCAATACATGAAAACACATCATGCATATAAATCATTCTCCCATGGGGTATGGTGGAACTAAGAATGGCTAAACCGAGGACACGAAAGCTTACCTCGCAAGCTAACAATCCAAGCCAAGTCCACACAAGCTCAATGACACCAAACAACACAATCACAGTCTGTTTATACAATAATTAATCATCAATAATCATTGGCCAAGGTTCCATTAAGTGATTAAGGCTTTCCAACTCATTTTAAGTCATTTCATGCAAATTCTGCAAGAGGTATTCGAATACTCCTTGATGAGTATTCGAATACTCGGTGTCTCTAGAAAGTATTCGACACTGAAGTATTCGAATACCACAAGGTATCCGAATACATTACACCCAGTATCTGAATACCACCAGGTATCCGCATACAAATACCACAGTATTCGAATACTATCCAGTATTCGAATACATACTCAAAGGTATCCGAATACTTTTCTTCCCAGAAAAGTATTCGGATACTCCTGGAAGGAGTATTCGACTACCAAGGGATAAGTATTCGAATACTACACGAAAAGTATTCGAATACTTATCAGACAGAATGCAAAATTTCGTGCATTCTCTGCATAAGTCCCATTTTAATGATCCAAACTCGATCTGGAGTCCAATGACTCCTTAAACAGATGTTCCTTAACATGTTTAAGACTCAGAAACACAGTCCTTCACTCAAATTATCCAAGTTTTACTTTTTAAAGGATTAAACAAGCTTAAATCATGAAAATGACAAAGAGGTGATCATGGTATACCTCCAAGGCTCAAAACTCCGAAAATGACACAGATTAGGAGTCCTCTACACAGCACTATAGTTCTGCCACTTCAAGACCACGAAAATCAACTACAAGCTTGGACTTTTCATCATCAAAATGGCTTCTTGAAGCCTTCAATGACAAGAAAATGGCTCCCACCATTGAGAACCACCAACTCGGCAACACAACCCCACAAACAGATGCTGCAACTCAGAAATGAAGCATCACACACCGTCACAATACCAACTCACACATAGCTATGGTGTTTAGGTGAAGGAATAATGAAGAAAAATGGTCTCTTGGTTGAGTTTTACCAAGAAAAGGAGAGTGGCAAGGGGAGGCTAAAGGCTGCTGAAACACCACTAGAAAACTCACGTAACAATGTAAACAAATCAGCCTAGGGTTTAGTGTCAAGCCTATTTAAAGGCACATTAAGTTTTAATCACACTGTATTAGCGCTAATATCTACGCTTATCTTTTTAATCCCAAACTGAGGATTCTGAACCTAGCCATTTTTCTAGGATTTTTCATATTTTTATATTATTTTTCGCAGTACTTTGTCGGTACGCGCTTTTACAATGTCGGTATCAGTTCTGACACCAGTTCTCATTATTTTGACCTGAAACTTGTTATGCTAGTCCTATATATTATTCTAGTGACATATACACACTTTTCATAATTTTCCGGGATAGTTCATCGGTACACATTTATACCGTGGAGCAAAACAGGTATCTGCACTTTTCGTCAGAAAAGCGACTTTCAACATTATTAAACCCTTACTATAATTATTTAAGCCTTCTCATAATTATTAGGGTCAATTATGGAATTATCTCATTAATCTCATAATTAATTAATTAAATTTCTAAATTAACGGTGCGGGTTCTTACATTCACCCCACTTTTTAAGAATTTTGTCTGCAAAATTAAAAACATATATGTCCCGAAACTCAGGGTACTGCCGGAGAAGCTCGTCCTCTCGCTCCCATGTACACTCCTCAGGAGTTCTTCCTGTCCATTGCACTTTGACTATCGGAATGATCTTGCTCCTCAGCTTCTTCTCGCCACGATCGAGAATCTTGAATGGTCCGACGGGAGTTTTCAAGTTCTCCCGAACTTCCACATCATCCGGTTGCACCACGTGCGAAGGACCCGTGTAACACCCCGTATATATCCGGTAATGTTATCATATCATCGTATTAAGCTGCGCTTAATTAAAAATGCAGAATATCTTTTTCTTTTCAATTACGACGTCATTATTCATTACCAACTTGATTACTTAATCATTTTCAAATCATTGCCTGTATGTAAGTTGCAAAAGACATCTAACTGAAATACCTCATTAATTAAACAACAGATATAAGTCTCTAGTCACAGAACTACAACACGTAGACCGGACGACTCTTGATAGTAGGGGTGGCAATTTGGGTTGACCCGCCCCGCACCGCCACCAACTCGCCAAAAACAGGGCAGGGCGGGTTGACCCGCCTAAAAATATGGGTTGGAAAAATGAACCCACCCCGTTTAATGGTGGGTTGGCGGGTCAACCCACCAACCCGCCAATTAAAAAAATAATAATTAAAATTCAAAAATAAATTATATTTTATGAATTTTTCTAATATTATTTTATTTTATTTCACACTTCTCTATATTCTTTTAGTCTCGATTTTAAATGCATACTAATATTTGTCAAACATTCTTTAGGAATTTATATATAGATAACATTTGTCATAAATAAAATTGTTACTCTTTATTTTTCTAGGAAGAACTAAGATAAAAAAAAATTGGATATCACAAAAATTTAAGGACTAATGAAATACTACCTAAGTGTAAAAAAAATATACATATATATAACCCGGCGGGTCAACCCGCCCCACAGCGGGTTGAACCCGTTTTGACCCACTTCTAGGCGGGGCGGGTTGAGGTGGGTTGGTGGGTTGAAAACTTCAACCCAACCCGCCCCGTTTTGGCGGGTTGACCCGCCGAACTCAACCCATATTGCCACCCCTACCTGATAGTTTATACAACTCCAACTAAAAGTACTAACATCAAGTGGCATGGACAAACCCCATGCTCACACAAATAAGGCAATAAGCCCAACATAGTCTCAACAACAACGTCATAATAAAATAAAGCTAAAAGCATAACATCAGCAGATAGATCCAGCAACCAAACATGTTAGCATATAAACAGCAATAATCATCAACTAAGCTCCAGCCTCCTGCCGCCAGAGGCATCAGCCCCCAAATTACCTGAACCTGAAATAAGCGCCCCCAAACGTAAGGTGAGATCTCTAAACAAGAAATCTCAGTAAGGCAAGGGG